TGCGAGAGGAGGAGGAGAAGTAGGAAGAAGCGGAGGAGGAGGAGGAGGAGAAAGAGGAGGAGGAGGAACAGCAGGAGGAGGAGGAGGAGATGATGATGATATGAATATCAATTTTTGAGTAGATTTCTGTCATTCAAGATCTCAAACTTCATGCCGAGAAGAATCTCGATGATGAGCGACAGGCTCGTAAAGTCGCCGACGAGAAGGTTTTCTGTTGTACTTTCCAACAGTTTGCTGCTGCTGCTGCTGCTGCTGCTGATCTGAATGATTCTATCTCTTTTGCTCTCGCTCCTTGTCTTCTCACTTTGCTTTAGGCGGATGCTGCACTGGAAGGAAGGAGAAGGGCCGAGGAAGTTGTATCACTTCATGAACAGGTAGTTCATTTGATGATGATTGAGATGACGATGATACAGTGTTGGTGTTGGTGTTGGTGTTGGTGTTGGTGTTGGTGTTGGTGTTGGTGTTGGTGTTGGTGATGATCAAGTAAAGTGTTGATATAGCTGTTTCTGTTGACGATGGAGGAGGAGCAGGAGGAGTTGGTGGTGGTGCTGCGCGTGGTGGTGGTGATGATGATGATATGGCGGTGCTGGTTATGGGAGAAGATTTGAGGAGAGGGGTGGTAAATTCATGTCATGCAGGCGGTCAAAGACGCTGATCTGAGAGCTGAACAAGCTGAAGATGCGAAGAAAAAGGTGAGAGGAGAGGATTCACAAGATAGAAACGATGACGAGAGAGATGATGATCATGACAGGCCCTGATGCAAGAGAGCTGGATGAAAGAGAACCTCGCGGAAGTGAGCAGAAAACTTGCTCAGGTGCAACACAGAGTGTTCTTGCCTTCAATAGGTAACGATGCACTTTGTAGGCGGAGAAAGAGCGATCAGATGCTCTTGACAACCTCAACGAACTCCGTGAGAACATCATGAGATCGTCGTCATGTGCGTTTTGATGGGAGTTGTGCAGAATCGGAATTGAGGTCAAAGATGACGGAGATACAGAACTTGAAAGACAAGATCCAGGCTGATGTGAGTCATGCTGATATTCCGCTAACACCAATCCTGTCTCCCTACCGCCCCTGCATCTGCTCCTGCTCCTCCTGCTCCTCCTGCTCCTTCTCTTAACCTTTCTCCATAACATCTCTAACTCCCCAATTCTCCTTCAGCTCCAGTCTAGAAAGAAGCTCGAGGAAATGATGGAGCTGGAGAAGAAAATGAAGAAGGTCCGTTTCTGCATCTGCACTGACCTCCTCCTCCTCCTCCTCCTCCTCCTCCTCCTCCTCCAGCTCCTCCACCCCCTTCTCGTCCTCCTCCTCCACCTCCTCCACCACCTTCTTGTCCTCCTCCTTCTCACTCTCTTGCAGGAAGCCGAGGAGGCACAAGCAGCTGCTGTTGAACGCAAGATTGAGGCAGAGAAGAGAGCAGAAGAGAAAATCCGAGAGTTGGAGGTCTCTTGTTGTAGTCCTCCGTTGCCCACCTTGACCACTGTCCTGTTTTCTCCTCGTCCTCGTCCTCGTCCTCTTCCTCTTCCTCGTCCTCGTCCTCGTCCTCTATTCTGTCTTCATTTTCTCCTCCCTCTGCGTACCATATCTTTTCTTTCTTATCCTTTCCTCTTGGTTTTCTGCTGTTTCCCTTATGCCCTTGCAGGTTGCATTGAAGGAAATTCGAGCTGCTGAGGAGAAGGTCAAGAAGGCAGAAGATGCCAAGACACTTGCGGAAACAAGAACGTGAGTTTTCTTCTCCTGTCTCCTGTCTCCTGTCTCCTCTCCTCTCCTCTCCTCTCCTCTCCTCTCCTCTCCTCTCCTCTCCTCTCCTCTCCTCTCCTCTCCTCTCCTCTCCTCTCCTCTCCTCTCCTCTCCTCTCCTCTCCTCTCCTCTCCTCTCCTCTCCTCTCCTCTCTGCTCTGCTCTGCTCTGCTCTGCTCTGCTCTGCTCTTCTCTTCTCTGCTCTGCTCTGCTCTGCTCTGCTCTGCTCCCCTCTCTTGTCTCCTCTTTCTCTCCCCTTTTGTGTCATTCTTGTTCTTGTCTCGCTCCTCTCTCTCCATGCAATCTCCTTGATCCTTAAGCAGGAAAGAAGCAGAGCAGCTGAAGGAAGAAGCTGAGCGAGCTAGACAGGCAGCGATCGAGGTTCTCGGACTCTCCTCCTCTTGCCTTCTTTTTCATCCTCTTCCTCTCGTCTGACTTGCTCTGATGGATCTTTGCAGGAAATGAAGAAGCTCCAGGTGGATCTTCGTGCTCAGCAAAATCTCCGGCAGCAGGCAGAAGTGGAGGCTTCCTCAGCCAAGAAGCAGCTCCAGATCGTGAGATCAACCCGTTCCTTCCCAACCCTTCTGTCTCCGGCTTGCTCCTCATCTTCTTCCCATCCACTAGTTAAACCTCTCTGATCCCGCTACTGCTGTTCCTTGATGCTCAACCCTCTCCCCCTCTCCTCTCTCGACCCGCAAGTTCCTTCACTTCTCCCTCACCCCATTGCGTCGTTTGCAGGAGAAGTCGAACTTGCAAGAGGCACTCAATCAAGTCAAGGTGGGCGTCTGCTGGAGACTCAAGGGAGCTGACATCTGCGCCAGGTGGAGCAGGAGAAAGTTGCCCAGCTGCTCTTGGAGCTCGAGAGGCTGAAAAGGAAGAATGCAGAGCTTGCGCAGCAGCTGGAAGACGTTCGGGTCGAGCTGAAGGAGGCAGTCTTGCTCCAGCAGCAGCTCCAGCAAGAGAGGGACAACGAGCACGCTGAGAGGATGTCAGCTGAGAAGCAGATCCTCGCAGAGGTTTCGAGCCATCGGGCCACCAAGGAGCAGCTGGGGGATGCCCAGCAGACACTTGTCCAGCTGCGAGCTGAGAATTCCCAGCTGCTGGAGGAACTAGAGGAGCTAAGGAGAAAGCGACCCGTGCGACTCGGTGCGTCGGCGCCCTCCTACCCCGACCTGCGACCCAAGGTCGAGCAGCTCGAGATGGCGCTGTCAGACCTCCGTTCAAAGCTGGAGGAGCTGGAGCACGAGCTGGGGAGGGAAAAGGACGCACGACAGGTGGCAGAGGCAAAGTGCTCTGCAGAGGCCAAGGCGAGGAGGATGGCGGAGGAGGATACTGGAAGAGAGGCAGCTCGGTGCCTGCTGGCAGAGGAGGCAGCAGTAGCAGCAACGTACGCTCGGCTGGAGGTGGAGAAGGAGAGGGACAGTGCGTACGAAGAGAGGAGGAAGGTTCAGGAGAAGCTGATGCAGGAGAGCTCTCTGCTCCGATCAGCTGAGGAGCGGCTGGCAAAGATGTTGAAGGAGCTACAGGAGGCAAAAGAGCAGAGGGAGAAGGCACAGAAGATCTCCAGGGAGCTCGAGAGGAAGCTGGAAAAGGAAAGCCATGAGCTGGAGGAGGCGGTGAAGTCGCTCAGGAGGATGGAGCTGGAACTTGTAGCGGCGAGAAAGGCAAAGGGAGAGGCGGAGGGGATGGCCCAGGAGCTGGCAAGGAAGCTGCAGCAGTCCATCGACAGGCTGAACGACGAGCACGAGAAGCTGAGAAAGTGCGAGGAGCAGCTGAGAAGTGCGACAGATCGAGCAGATGCTGCGGAGAAGTCAAAGGCAGAGGTGGAGGAGAGGAGGAAAGCAGCCGAGAAAGCGACGCAGAGCGAGATGATGGCGAGAAGAGAAGCTGAGGAGAGAGTCGCTAAGGTGAGAGCCAAGGCTGCAGGAAGAGAGTAGCTCGGGGAGGAGGAGGGGAAGGCGGGGAGAGGGGAGGCAGGGAGGAGAGGAGGAGCGGAGAAATAGATGCTGACGTTGGAGGCAGGAAGCTGAGCTGAAGCGAATTGCTGAGCGGAACTTGGAGGTCATAAGGTCAGATTGAAGAGGAGGAGGAGGAGGAGGACGGGGAGGGGAGAGGGAGGTGGGAAACTTTGACAGGAGTGATCGCAGGGAGCAGAAGGAAGAAGCTGAGAAGCTTCTGAAAGAGTCTGAGGCCAAGGTCGACACGTGCTGTCATACCCCTCCTAGCTCCTTTGAGCGATCTCCCCCTCTCCTCCTCTCCTCCTCTCCCCCTCTCCTCCTCTCCTCCTTCCTGCGTTCTTCTCGCTACTTGCGCTCCCTTTCCCTCTCCTTCTCAACCTCTCCCGCAGATGCAACAGCTGCTGAAGGACTGCGCGAGGTTCGAGGATGAGGCCAGGAGGTGGAAGGTGAAGGCTGCAGAAGAGGAGGCAAACTGCACAAAGTGAGAGAGGAGAAGATCTGAAGTCTCCAGCTGACATCGGGCAGAGCTGAGAAAGAGCGGGACGACATAAGAGCTGCTCATCTCTCTTGTGACCGTCAGGCAAGGCTCTCGAGCTGCTGCTCTGTTGGGGCTGAGCTGGGGTCGTGCAGATCTCGTCAGCGAACGATCGGGCGAACAAGCTTGAGGCAGAAGCCCATACCGCGAAGAGGGAGACGGAGAAATTGAAGAAAGAGTTGTCCGAGCTGAGGTGAGAATGTCGTAGGATAGCGATGGACAAGTAGTAGCAGCAGCAGCAGCAGCAGCAGCAGCAGCAGCAGCAGCAGCAGTAGTAGTAGTAGTAGTTGTAGTAGTTGTAGGAGGAGGAGGACAAGGAGGAGGACAAGGAGGAGGACAAGGAGAAGGACAAGGAGGAGGAGGAGGAAAAGTTGTACAAATTTTATCACTTTGATTGAGATGAACGTTTCGCTGCCTGGCTAATATGACAAACAGCGCGAAATATTCTGCTGTCCTTCTGGAGAAAGATAGGTAAGACGATGGTTGTAGTGGTGGTGGTGGTGGTGGTGGTGGTGGTGGTGGTGGTGATGATGATGATATCATTCATGTTTACATCGGTTGTCGATGGAGATGATGCCTTGAGCTGGTTGAAGGAATGTCAGCTTCTCTTTGCTTTCTTCTCACTCTTCCCAGTCTGGCGAAATCAGTCGAGGATCTTTCGTCTGCTCTTGAGAAACTCCGAGCGAAACTTCTTTCACTGGTACGAAAGAGGAAAGGCCTCGGCTTGCTCCTCTCCTGCCCTCCTCTTCTCCTCCTCTCCTCTCCTCTCCTCTCCCCTCCTCTCCTCTCCTCTCCTCTCCTCTCCTGCCCTCCTCTCCTCCCCTCTCCTCTCCTCTCCTCTCCTCTCCTCTCCTCTCCTCTCCTCTCCTCTCCCCTCCTCTCCTCTCGTCTCCTCTCCTCTCCTCTCCTCTCCTCTCGTCTCCTCTCCCCTCCCCTCCTCTCCTCTCCTCCCTTCTGCGTTTCTTCCTTCCTCCTTCATCTTGCTCCCTTGCTCCTTCATGGCTCTTCACCTCTTTCCCTCTCGTTGCTGTCGTTAATTCCTCTTCCCTCCCCCGCTCTCATCTCTTCACTTTCATCGAGTTCATTGATGTTCACCTTCATCCACGCAGGAAGAGGCTCTCAAGAAAGCAGAGCAAGAGAGGGACAACGCTCGCCGACAAGCCGAAGATCTCAAGGTTATCTTCTCTCGCTACTCTACTTCTCCTTCATCCTGCTCCTCCTCAGTCCCCTCCACATCTCCTGCTCCTCCCCTTCCTCTCCCTCCTGCTCCTGTTCATTATTCCACCATCCTGCTTCCCATTGCTCGACGCCGCTCTTACAGCACTCCAGAAAAAGATCGCGGAGATGGACAGAGAGCTTCGCGATCTTCAAGGTCTGCTGCTTCTCTGAGCTGATTCTTGGGCTAAGCTGGGAAGCAGCTGAGAAAGAGCTCCTCCGGAACAAGAGCTGCGGATGTGAGGAGGAGCTAGCTGCGTTGAGGTCACCTCCCTCCTCCCTCCTTCTTCCTTCTTCCTTCTTCCTTCCTCCATTTCTCTTCTCTTGTGTTTTCCTCCACATCCTCCCTTCCCTCTTTCTGTCCCTATTCCCCCTTCCTCACCTGCACTCTCACCTGCTACCCCCTCCTCCTCCTCCTCCTCCTCCTCCTCCTCCTCCTCCTCCTTCGGCATCTCTTTACCGTCATAGCAGAAAGAAGCTTGAGGAGCTGGAAAAGAATCGCACGAAGCTCGCAGCTCCTCCTCCCAAGCGCGCAGGAGTTGGTCTCCTGCTGGGCAAGTTCGAGGTGAGAACTCGATAGAGGAAGCAGGAAAAACGAGGAGGAAGAAGGGGAGGTGGAGGAGGAGCAGGGGGAGGAGGATGAAGAGGGCAAGGCGCAGGAGGAGGAAGAGGAGGAGGATCAGCTGGAGTGGGAACAAGAGCAGGAGGAAGAAACGAAATGCGGGGAGGGGCAGAGGGGGAAAGAGGGAGAACGAGCTTGTCGGAGGTTCAGGTTTGCGCAGGACGATCATCGGACGCACGCGGACAAGATTTACATCCTCGAGGTTGTGACGGGAGGAGCAGCAAGCGACCAGGGGCACGTCTCTGTGAACGACATCCTTCACACAGTTGACGGAAAGCACGTTGAGGTTGCCTTCCTCCTCCTCCTCCTCCTCCTCCTCTTTCTCCTCCTCCTCCTCCTCATCATCATCTGCTCCTGTTCCCCCTCCTCTACTTCTTTTCTGACCATCTTGGTAGTCGCTCCCTCTCGACGCAGTCTTCTCGCTCATCCAGGGCATCGAAGGAACTCCCGTGCGTCTGGAGCTTGAAAGAAGCAACGGAGAGATGGTGATTTCTCCCTCTTCCTCCTCCTCCTCCTCCTCCTCCTCTCTCCCTCCTCCTCCTCTCCCCCCTCCCTTTTCGCCATCTCCTCCTCCTCCTGACTCATTTTGTCCTATAATGTCCTGGTCCTTGAGTCCCCTGAGTTCCATCCCCACCACCTCCGCATGTCCCTTGTCCTCCTCTCGCAGGCACGAAGGTACTGATGAGTTGGCAGTACACCACGACCATCAACAGGAAGGCCATGGTATAACGAGGAGCGGAGAGGGAGGAAACGGGAGGAGACAGAGTAGGAGAGCAGAGGCGAAGTCCTCACAGGTAGTCAGAGCTACTTTTTTGGTCCATCACGGTGCAAGAAAACACTTCAACCACAACTCTCTTCTGTTCCCTACTGCCCTGCCCTCTCCCCAGGCCGCCCTTGCACACTCTCCATCATCCTCTTCCTTCGTTTCTTCCTGCTGTAGACCGACTGCGGGTGCCAGTGCGGCAGCCGAGTCTTGCCTATCTTGGGCTTCTTCACAAAGTCTCGCTGACTATCGTGCGCTGCCCCTATTTTCACCTCCTCCATCCCAATCTGCACCGTCCCGTCTGCGATCGCCGCAGCTGCGCTCTTCCTCCTAGCGTAGCGGATATACGCCTTCCCCTTGAACCCTGGAGGAGGCAAGTCCTTGGACCCCTTCCTTGCCAGCCTGCTGCTGGACCACCGAAAGTCGTCTATCGCTCCATAACAGCTCATCACCTCTTGGATCGCCGACCGGCTCATCGCCTTGGTGAGGCCTGTCAGGGAGATGGAGTACGCGTCCTTGTACACAGTCTTCTGCTCCAGCCAGTCCCTGCTGCTGTACCGCACCACTATCTCCTTCCCCAGCAGCATTGTCCCTGACAGCTTCAAGGCCTTCTCTGCCGCCTCCTCCGCGTCCTCCTCCTCGAACCTGATGAAGCCGTACCCTCGGAACTCACCCGTCCTCCTGTCGTGGCTGAGCTCTATGTTCTCGATGTCGCCGCACTGCTCGAACTGCTTCCTCAGCAGCCTCTCGCTCACCCCATGGTGCAGGTTCGACACGTGCACTGACCGGCAGACTGGAGGCTTCTCCTCCTTCCTCCTCCTCCTCCTCTCCTCCACTCCGTAATCGATCTTGATCCTCCTCCCCTTCAGCAAGCTCCCAGACTTGTTCACCGCCATGTCTGTTGCCTCCGAGTGCGTGAAAACGACGTGCACAAACCCCTTGAACGCTCCCTCCTGCTCCCCCCACCGCAGCGACTCGATGGGCCCGCAGTCAGCCAGCAGCGCTCGGACCTCTCCTTCCTTGACGCTGAACGGCAGGTTCCCCATGAATATCGTCCGGCAGCCCGGGGGCTTCTGACCAGCGAGGAAGAACGAGTCCTTGTGTGACCTGGTGATACTGGGGGCATGCGACATGGTCAGTCCCACGCTCCTCCCTCCCACGTCCTGCCCCCTCAGCTCGATCGCCCGCAGCGCCTGCTCGTGCGTTTCGAAGTCGACATGGGCGAAAGAGGAAGGGATTCCGGTGCGCGAGATAGCCGTCTGGTTGATCCGAACGCCCTGGATGTTCCCGCAGCCCTCCAGCAGCGAGCGGATCTCCTCCTCCTCAGTGCCTGGAGGAAGGTTGTACACGAAGACTGTCCTGCAGTCTACCGGGGCGCTCCGTCCCACCGTCCCCCTCGTGACCTTGGAGCCTTCCTCCATATCAGAGAAGAGGAATGCTCTGCTTTCAACAGGGTCCATAAACAATTCTTTCCCCAGACAGGTCCGCGGAACGGCCATGGCGGTCGATACGGAGGAAGGGTCGGCAAAGATGATAAAAGCATGACCAAGAAATAGCCCTCTCCTCATGTCCAGCCCCCACTCGATCCCACGGATCTCCCCGCAGTCAGCGAACGATTTCTTCAATTCCTCCTCCTTGATCCCATAGTCGAGATTCGAGATTTTCAATGTGTCTGTCAGGCCTTCGAACCTCCTGTCCTCCTCCTCCCCCTCAGCGTCTCCTCCATCCCCCATCTTCTTGTCGCTCTGTCCCCTGCTCTTGCCTCCCTCAGCTTCAGGCAGTGCTCGTAGACTCTCAGCATAGTCAACGATGATCGGACGACCCTGTAGCACAGCTCCGTGCATGCCGGCGGCTTTTTCTGCAGCTGCCTCTTCAGCGAACTTGACAAAGTGCCAGTCAGCTTCTTCAGCTGAAGGGGAGCTGGTTTCGTGCTGGGCGTACGAGCTTGACGATCGAATCTCAACGATTTCGCCACAGGCTGAAAAGTACTCCTTCAGCTCAGCATCTGCAAAACCGACCGGGAAGTTGGAAACAAATACTGTGTCACAAGGGACTGGCTTCTTCGAGGCCTTTACACATATCTTCCTCCCCGCAAACTTCGTTCCTGCCATTGCCATGAACTTGAGCCGCGTCTCGCGGTCTGGCATGGTGACGAATGCGAAGCCCTTCCCCAGCCCTTCCTTGTTGTAGGGGATCCGGAAGTTGATCGTCACGGAGTTCTGAGGATAGCAGGAGGAGAACAACTCTCTCAACTCACTGTTCGACACGTTCTTTGGGAGATTGCCAACAAACAAGGTCAAGGAGGAGAAGTTTTCAGCCTCTGTCTTGTTTTCCTCAGCTTTCAACTCAGATGTAGCGCGATTCAACGTGTTGTTGCTGATCTCAGCCTTCGTCGTGTTCGGGGGGACCACCATGTGCGACCGAGCAAGCTGTCTGAGTACCCAATCATGGAGCATTGCCTGTTGCAAAGCATGTCTCTCATTTGACTTCATGGCGGATTCTTCATGTTTCTCATTTGACTTCTTGGCAGTTCCTTCATGTTTCTCCTTTGACTTCTTGGTAGATGCTTCATGTTTCTCCTTTGACTTCTTTGTAGATGCTTCATGTTTCTCCTTTGACTTCTTGGTAGATGATTCATGTGTCTCCTTTGACTTCTTGGCAATTCCTTCACGATTCTTGGAAGACCTCTCCTTGTGAAGTGACTTTGTGTTGGCGGATCCCGACGACTTTTTCTTTTTGATCTTTGATTCCACCTTCTTCTTGCTCTCCTTGGTTTTCTTGCCCTTCTTGGGCTCCTCAATCTCTCTCCCTCCCCGCATTGACAGCCGGAGGGCTGGTCTCCAGCATGGCCTTGAGGCCTTGCCACGGGGAGGGAGCGACAAAGGTGTTGTCATACCCCGTTGACCCATCCCATCATTCGCATGGATCAGAACGCTCATGGCAACAAGCAAGCATTGCAAACCAATAGCCTGATGGCTCTGAGGCATTTTCAGCGAGCAAGCGCGCTGCCCTTAACTACAGTATCGTGTTTTCCGTTCCAGGGGTGCTAATGAGCGATAGCTCCTTCCTCCATGTATCCTTGTACACACCAATATTCCCCTCCCCTCCTCTCCCTTCCCTTCCCTTCCCTTCCCTTCCCTGATCCTCTCCTGCTTCTCTCTCAGCAAACACTCGCACCCTCTGCTCTTCCCTCATCCCTTCCGCTTCCACGCATTAAATTCCCGGGCATGCGGGAGTCGCATTCCGGATGCCGCGAACGCCGGCTGACCATACTCCACTCGCCGAGTAAAGAAGACTACTCGCCGAGTAAAACTCGCCGCCGGAGTCGGTCCCGGCGAAGGATCGGAGGGCCGGCCCGGGTCAGTCCGATCACCAGTGCACGGCGGGCCCGCCGGGGCTGATTCCGGGCCCGGGCCCGGCTAGGGCGAATGAGGCACGGCGGTACTGAAAAGGAGCCTTTACTCAAAGTTAAGTTAAAAATCATTACGAGGACAATCAGGAGAGACGAGGAGGCAAGTTGACGGCAGTGCTTTACTCAAAGTTAAGTTAAAATCAGTACGAGGACAATCAGGAGAGTCGAGGACCCTGACACTGTCGCACAGACCAAACGGCGAGAAGAGAAAAGACAGCGAGAACCAAACCCAATCCGGCCGACTGCTGTCCCCCAAACTTAACTGATACCTTCACTTAACGGCGCGCAGGACAAGTCCCCGCGCGGCCGTGCCAGCGATGTCGCGGTGGCCTCCGCCGAAGAGTTAAGTTAAAAATCAGTACGAGGACAATCAGGAGATAAATTGTTGGTCAAACACGGCCGGGTCAAACTCACTGGCAGTTCTCTTCACTCAAAGTTAAGTTAAACTTATCAGAACGAGCTGCGTCCCTTTACTACTAACCAAAATACTACTCAGCGGCCACCATGGACTTTTATTACTATTATTACTCGCTCTGGGTCACGGCAGCACCGACGACCTTTTCATCACGTCTCGGCAGTGACACGGCAAAGGGACCCCTTCCACTTTACGGCATAACAATGCTCCAACCCCACCCCCCACCGCACTGGGAAATGGCCCTAATAAAACCCTACCTTTTGCCTGTAATAGCCCAACTGCACCCCACCCCTCCCGAGATTGATGTTGTTGCAAAAGTGTACCAGACGTACTGGCAGGTCACTGCAGTCATACCAGGGGGTGCATCAGATAGGACGAAAGTGGGGGTGCAGGTCCACGGCTATTTATCGCGACGGTTCGTTGATGGCTCCCGGAGTAAGGGGAGTAAAGGGTTGCATGTTCGCGAGCGATCTCGGAGCTCCGGGTCATGGCACTATGCGGTCCGTGCGCCACAAGAGGCCAACAGAGGGGTGGAAGGGGTCACGGTTTTGGGCGATTACGAGGGTTACGGGTGCATGAGGAAAAAAGAATGCCATGACAGTTAAGAGGGTACGGGTGTAGTTGCTTGAATAGGAGGGGTACGCAACCTGGCAGTAAAGAGCTCTTTACCACTGAACAAACTTAAGTAAACAATTTGCTACAAACGAAACGGCGTGGAGTACGGACTTGAATTTAAATTAGTTTTAAGTTTGAAAAGTGTTTTAAAATACGGGTTCTAGAGCATTCCCTGGCTATTACAGGAGCTGTCCAGCATCCCTCCGCTACATCCCCGCGCCTGTCCTGCTCCCACGTCCTGCAAATACTCACGACCTCTGTTAGCTCGTTTCTCCTCCTCTCCTTCTCGAAACAAATCTGCAATGCAGCTCGTCGAATCCTCAAGATCCATTCGCATCGTCGACCTCCATGCGGATAGCAACACCGCCGAGCCTCAACAACGCCCTGTGAAAGAAGCTGCCCCCGCCGCGCTGCAGCATCGCTCAGCCATGACCGCGAAACCCAACGGCCTTGAGAGCAGCAACTTTGTTCTCAAGAACATCCTCAAGGCAAGACAGAAAGCTCAGGAACGCCCTGGGGAGGCCCCGAGTATTATCTAGCGCAGCATTAGACATTTTCGATTTTGTTTACTGATATTTTGAAGACGTGTACATTAGTTTGTGTGGATTAAAGCATGGTGTCAAAGCAACAAGGAAAGACTATTCCCTGATCTACTCCTTCCCTCAACCGTGTCACTCACCACATTGCATATCGCGAGCATCCGAAATCTCATGATTGAAGGGTAGGGATCTAACAGTATCTGACTCAAGGTCGATCATCCGGTGTATGCATGCGATGGTAGACCAGTGGGCACATTACGCTCGAGATCGCAGACAGGAGACGGAGAGAAGAACAGACGGGGCTCGAAGGACTAGGAGAGGTCGAGTCATGCTGGAGATTGTCTGGTACGACTCAAAGAGGTAGTGCGCAGCTACTCCCTCAACTCTTTGACCCCCACGGTCGTGGGAGGAGAGAGGAGGCTGTGCGTATCGGCAGCTTCTGAGGACATGCAATTAGAGCGCAACCTTCAGGCTCTCCTCGACGACTCGTGACTTGCGGGAGGAGCGGATCAGGCTATCCTAGCTGTCACGGTACGAGAGTCAACTTGGCTCCTCGAGAGGTCCGGGCCGATGCTTCTACTTGGCCTTCCCTGCCATAACCGATTCTCTGCCTCCTTCTCCTCTTCGTTCTCCACTAGCATATGCCACGGTTTCGCTCGGAGTCCTCAGGCTCCAATATCCTCTGCACTCAGCCTGGCAGGCTTACTAGTTACATGCGGCAGTGCCATGATGCCAGCGGATGCCATGATGTGTCAGGAACAGTTCTTGAATGATGTCCATTCTCGCTCGACTCCTGCTGGATCCGAGGCTTTCGGAGCACGCCCTTCATCACTTGAGCCTACGGTCATCAGACTGTTTCACAGCCTCGGTGTCAGTCTGGCAGTGCTTGGCTGAGGGCTCCGACTGCGGCCTTCAGGGCCGAGGGCCGAGCCATTGAAACCGGCGTTACAGTACGGGGCGCCGCCATTGTAGTACTACAAGTCAACTGTACGGGTGACCGTCGCCGACGGGCCGTGTGATCTCATCCCGGCCCGGGCCCGGCCCGACCCGGCGGCCCCGGCCGGGCGCCGGGCCCGCCGGCGTGATCACTGAGGCGTTGCAGCAGCCAAGGCAGGGTAGGGTCTCATAATGGTGAAGATAGGGGGTGGGTCGAGGTTATAAGAGCACTGTTGCAAGTTTGTTGCAGGAGAGGGAGGGAGGGAGAGGGGAGGGAGGGAAGGAGAGAATAGAGAAGAGGGAGGAGAAAGGAGAGAGAGAGGAGAGAAAGGAGAGAGAGGAGAGGAGAGATGAGAGAGTCAAAGGGCAGAGGGAGGGAGGGAGAGGGAAGGGAGGGTGGTAGTGATGGGTGTGAGGAAGCGATACAGAAAAGGGAGGATCGTCAAGGGAAAATGGATTTATGAAGGAAGCCAGAAAGGAGAAGGGCGGAGACAAGAGGGAATACGATGATAGGATTGGTTGAATGATGAGGAATGGCTGTAGAAGTTTTGAACCAAATGTTCTAATGGTATGGGGGAGTGGGCAGCTGGAAGGTTGAACCTCACTAAGCCTTCATGTCTCAGCAGAGCGAACATGGACGTCAAAGTACTGCCCCTGATCATCAATGGAGAGGAAGTTTCGTCGGTCTCGAGTGACTTGATTGATGTCGTGGACCCAAGTACACAACAAGTGCTTTGCAGGCAACCAAATTGCTTTTGAATTCGACCTTTACACAAAGATGATCGATTTCTACAGGGTGCCATGCTCGACAAGAGAGGAGATGGAGCTGATAGTGCATTCAGCCAGCGAGGCCCAGAAGAAATGGAGAGAAGTCCCGGTGCAGCAGAGGACGAGGGTCATGATCAAGTTCCAGACGTTGCTGGTGGAACACAAGGACAGGATTGCTGACGTCATCGTGAGAGAAAACGGGAAGACCAAGGTCGACGCACTGGGAGATGTCACTAGAGGCATCGAAGTAGTCGAGCACTGTCTCGGGATGCCAACGCTCATGATGGGAGAGGCAGTGGAGCAGATCAGTAGGGATATGGATACCTTCACCATCCGTCAACCCCTCGGCGTCGTCGGTGGAATTGCCCCATTCAACTTTCCTGCTATGATTCCTCTATGGATGATGCCGATCGCGCTGGGAACAGGCAACGCGTTCATCCTCAAGCCTTCTGAGAAAGTTCCCTCGGCGGGCATGATGATCGTGAAGCTAGCTATCGAAGCCGGTTTCCCCAAGGGGATCGTGAGTGTCCTCCATGGCGGCAAGGACGCGGCAGATTTCATTTGCAACCATCCTGCGATCAGGGCAGTCTCGTTCGTGGGAAGCAGCCTAGTTGGCCGAGCCATCTACGACATGTGCACCAAGGTGATGCTCAGCTGGACAGGTCTGGATGAGCTGACTCTTCTTTGACGCCAGGCGGGGAAGAGGGTGCAGTGTAACATGGGAGCTAAGAACCACGCGGTGGTGATGCCTGATGCTAACAAGGAGCAGGTGCTGTCTGCCTCGAACCTCTCCTCTCCCTCCTCCTTCCTGACTCCCTTGCGCTTCCTCCTGGTCTCTCACTTGCTGCGGCTCAGGCCATCAACGGAATCTTGGGAGCAGCCTTCGGAGCGGCTGGTCAAAGGTGGAGTAGAGAGAAACCTAGGTTGGGCAATGCTGAAGTGAGCGAAACAGATGCATGGCGATCAGCGTGTGCGTATTCGTGGGCTCTGCGAGCTCCTTCCTCCCAGAGTTCGTAGCTAAGGTAAAGGAGAAGAGACACAGGTGCGATCGGTAATGGGCAGTGCAGGCCAAGGAGTACCGGGTCGGGCACGGAGCGGCAGAGGGCACGGACATCGGGCCTGTGATCAGTCAAGCCTCTCTCAAGAGGATCGAGCAGATCATTCAGGTCTCTCGTTTGCCTCCGGCGCTTCAGCCTCCAGCTCCCGCTCCCAGCCCCTCCTTTGTCTGTCTGCCTCGGCCTCTACTCCCTTCCCTCGCTTCTCTCTCTTCACAGAAGGAGCAAGGATGTCACGGTGGACTTGCAGGCTTCTGTGGACGCAGGCGCCACTTTAGATCTGGACGGGCGAGGAGTGAAAGTGAGGCGCTTGCGGTGCATGTTGCAGGAACTGAGCAAGGATGAAGGTGGAAGGATTTGACAAGGGAAATTTCATCGGGCCGACTATCATCTCTGGGGTAACGACAAGCATGCCCTGCTACAAGGTCCTTGCAGACGCTGAGCTCTACCTGCCTGCTGACACGCTCTGCTCGCTGGTAGGAGGAAGTCTTCGGCCCCGTGCTGAGCGTTGTATGCGTGGACTCGCTGGAAGCCGCCATCCACTTCGTAAACGCCAACGACATGGGCAACGGAGTCGCTCTCTTCACGCAGAACGGAGGGGCCGCCAGAAAGTTTCAGGTAGAGAAGCACGACGGTTGAGACTTTGACTAAGGGAAACTTGGCAGCATGAGATCGAGGTCGGGCAGATCGGCATCAATGTGCCCGTTCCTGTTCCCCTCCCATTCTTCTGCTGGAGCTCGTCGAAGGGTTCTATCCTTGGAGAGCATCACTTCTATGGTCGGCAGACTGTGATGGGTTGCCGGTGTGTGCTCTGACGAATCTTTGGGCATGCAGGCAAATCTTCTGTGCACTTCTACACTCAGATCAAGGTTTGTGTTGGAGTGTGGTGAAAGCTGTTGACACGCGATCACTCAGACGTCTGTGTGTCGATGGGAGTTCAAGGACATTCAGAGCGATGCTGGAGCGATGCACTTTTCAGGTCGCTAGAAAGCCCTCGGTTTCTTGACGAGGGGAGGAAGGTATCAACGAACGAGGAGACGCAGCGGGGGAGGGCGCGAGGGCATGATTCTGTATTGCGCTAAAGTTGAGAGGCCACGAGGGCAAGCTGGTCGTTTGTAGGGAGACATAAAGGAAACGATTGTTTGTCTGTGAGCGAGCAGGCGACATTCTTGTCGGAGGGGGCAATAAGGAGGTGGCGGGGGGAAGGGGAGGAAGAGATTGCGCTGGGAGAGACAGCATACGGACGAGGAACAGGATACGAGAAATCTTAGTAGAGTAAGTACAAGATAAATTTACATGCTCGCGCCTTCCCCAAGGGCTGCAGGAGGGAGAGCTCTCGCTCGTTTCTTCCTCGGTCGGGCATGGCAGAAAGGAGCTTGAAAGTCAAGAGCTCCTGTTCACCCGCTCCTGCCTCGAGCCCTCGCCGGGCTCTCTCCTCGCTCCTCGCAACCCGCAGCTCCGGGCCTTGAGCCTGGCCTTGAGGATGTTGTCGAGAACGAAGCAGCTTCCGCCATCGGCCTGGGACTTGGGTGCTGGGGGATCTTGGTGTGAGGGAGGAGGGAGACGAGGCAAGTCATGGAGGGTCAGCTGCATAGGAGGGAAGGGGGAGGAGGTCAGCTGCATAGGTGGGAAGGGGAGGGAGGTCAGCAGCATAGGAGGGAAGGGAAGGGAGGAAAGTGTAGCGAGCCAATTCGAGGACCAGAGCAGGACGGGAGTACGAGGAGCACGCGAAGCAGCAAGAGGTCAGATACGAGTGTCACGGTACCAGTCAAGGAGGTACTTGTATCCACCACCCCTGGTAGAAGACAAAGGCCCGCCTCAGAGTTCTGATCCCGGAGTCCCGGAGTCCGACAGTCCTCGGAGAGAAATCATACGGTCCCCGGCCCGGCGGCGCCGACAACTACCGTGGCACAAGTTACTCGGGCCGCCGACTGCTCAGCGCTGAGTGTCGGAGACCCGGTAGACTATAAGACTTGAGAGGCCTGAGATGAGGCGTGTAGGTGAGGAATGAAGACTGAGATGAGGCGTGTAGGTGAGGAATGAAGACTGAGATGAGGCGTGTAGGTGAGGAATGAAGACTGAGATGAGGCGTGTAGGTGAGGAATGAAGACTGAGATGAGGCGTGTAGGTGAGGAATGAAGACTGAGATGAGGCGTGTAGGTGAGGAATGAAGACTGAGATGAGGCGTGTAGGTGAGGAATGAAGACTGAGATGAGGCGTGTAGGTACGGTGAGGAATGAAGACTCAGCGAGATGAGGCGTGTAGGTGAGGAATGAAGACTGAGATGAGGCGTGTAGGTGAGGAATGAAGACTGAGATGAGGCGTGTAGGTGAGGAATGAAGACTGAGATGAGGCGTGTAGGTGAGGAATGAAGACTGAGATGAGGCGTGTAGGTACGGTGAGGAATGAAGACTCAGCGAGATGAGGCGTGTAGGTACGGTGAGGAATGAAGACTGAGATGAGGCGTGTAGGTGAGGAATGAAGACTGAGATGAGGCGTGTAGGTGAGGAATGAAGACTGAGATGAGGCGTGTAGGTGAGGAATGAAGACTGAGATGAGGCGTGTAGGTGAGGAATGAAGACTGAGATGAGGCGTGTAGGTGAGGAATGAAGACTGAGATGAGGCGTGTAGGTGAGGAATGAAGACTGAGATGAGGCGTGTAGGTACGCTTGTATCGCATTATATTTGTATTGCTTTCACGATTTTGTAAATAAGGGAAATACGTTCGAGCAATCACGAGTCATGGCAGGCAAGGCATGCTCAACAGATGTACCACATGCTGATCTGCATTCCTCCACCTTTCCTCCGCATAACCCCTGGTACGGCCCTGAAGAGCTCAGGGCAGCATCCATAGTCACTGCATGCTCAAAACACTCTAACATACCATCACTCATCTCCCAGATGAATATCGATGGTTCATTTCATGCTTATACAACTTCGCTATCTCTGCATCTCTACACCTGGTGGCCGCATGGTAGCTTGCCTCTCGGCTCCTCGGAGTCTCTCTTGCCCGCATCCGCAGCGTCGCTGCTTGTCAAGGGGCTCTTTGGGTCTTACCAACGATCTTGACTCAAATCTCCGTAAAAGTTGTAGAGTGCTACACGCCTGTGCTGCTCCTTGGCAAGGTTCACAAGGCTTCACTTCCTCCCTCTCCTTCCATGAAGCTCCCCTCTCACGCCCCTCGCGCCCCTCCTTCCAAGCTCATCCGCGTCGCAAGGCTCAAGGCCCGGAGCTGCGGCTCGCGAGGCTCGGACTTGAGCCAGGAGGCGGGTCAGCAGGAGCCCTTCGCCTTGAACAGAACGAGAGCCCTGACACAGCGCGAGGACCATGTAGCGACCTGTAGCTTCCATGAGACCAGATTGGCTCAGTTGGGAGAAGGCAAAGCCAGGAACGAGCTACGAGTTGTCCTTGAGACCCCGGCAGGAGCCCCTTGACAAGCACTGGCAGCGACGCTTCTGATGCAGGCAAGAGAGACTCCGAGGAGCCGAGAGGCAAGGTACCTCGCGGCAAGTGTTGTGGGTTGGTAGGTATTTTTGCGATCCTCTCCTTCTGTCACGATATGTTTAGCAAGATGGTCATAACGAGTATGTGTTGAAAGCGGAAGCAACCAAACAGATCATTTTGTGATGGCAAGACAGACAATGCCTCTATGTGTGAAAATACGACAGTGAGTGAGTTTTTCCTTGACTGAGGGAGATCAGGCAGTGATGGTCGCGGGTGGATGCAGTGATGCTGGGTCATGGTGCGAGCTTTGAAGTCATCTGTCTCGAACCTCTCAAGTGTACACATCCGCTACAATGCACCAAGTGATGGCAACACGATGGAACGAGTCTGTTCGGCGGCTGATATGACACGGCGAAGGCAGACTAACGATGGTCTGTGTACAGCTGTAACGTGAACGACACATTCACATTAAAGAACGAAACACGGGCCTCTGCCAGAGCAAACATCTACGTTAGCACGCGCGTACTAGGTCTTTTAGAATGCTGCTTGATGTATCAGCGCCATGGCTACCGCTCTTTGCGGCAACCAATGCTCTCCAAGAGTCCACATGCACGTCAGTTGTCAACGAGGCTGAGCTCTTGCCCTGTCTTCGTCAATGATCTTTGCCTTGTTGTAGAGGCCTTTCGAGCACTCTAGTTGAAACCTTATGTATGTGTGTGAGAGGCGGACATTGGCTGTGAGAGGAATGCAGCAGTCCTCTCTGCATCCTCTCAGCATGTCACGAACGGAGTCTGTACAGGATGTTTACTAGCTCGTTCTTCTTTCTGTTCTAGCAAGCACACAATCAGAAGCAACTCCCGCCTCCGCGTGTACACGCCCCCTGGGCAAGATCTACGGGGGCGGCAGGGAGGAGGAGGGAGAGCTCTCGCTCGTTCCTTCCTCGGTCGGGCTTGACAGATCGGGGCCTGGTAATCCGCGCTCACCATGAAAAGTTTCCATATCTCTCCTTGACAGCCTCGAGCCGCGCTCTCTCCTCGCTCCTCGCAACCCGCAGCTCCGGGCCTTGAGCCTGGCCTTGAGGATGTTGTCGAGGACGAAGCAGCTTCCGCCATCGGCCTGGGACTTGGGTGCTGGGGGATCTTGGTGTGAGGGAGGGCGGTGGGCGGACTGAGAAGGAGGAGCAGGGAGTATCTCCAACGAAGACTGTCGGGGTCCTGGAGGAGGGCTAGAGTCGAGGGGTGAGAAGGCGATGAACTGGACGCGGAATGTGGGAGGAGCAGCCATGAGTTTCATCGGAGAGGAAGAGGAGGAAGGAGGAAGAGAGCCCTAGATGTCAAGTTGGAAAGCATGCGAATCGAGCAAGTTTGTAGGGCTCAGAGTAGTATAAAGCCTCCTCGGATCTGAGGGGCCCACCAACATCTAAAGGATCCGAGTTAAACACCTTTGACCTCCTCGTGTAACTAAACTTTCACCTATTATCAGCGGCTACGGTAAAGTAAGCTAGTTTTAAATGTGCCTGGCAACTCCCGCGGAGCATTCGCGAGTCGCCGGCAGCGCATCCGGCGCTGAGTCAGTTACTGCGGCCATTCAAGTCTCCGCGGCTGCCATCGGACGGCTAAGTGCAGGCTCCGGGAGTTCACGGTTATAGGCCCGCCGGCCCGGGGCCCGGTCCCCTGCTGCCCGGGCCCGCTCGGCAGTGGCAGTCCCCGAACTGAGTTTCGGAGTTCGTAGTGGCAAGTGTCTTCCTTTGGTCCTCACTAGTGATGAGTTCTGAGGTGGACTCGATCATCGTCGTCACCATGGCTGAAGACTGTGGCCAGGTACGGGAGGGAGGGAGGGAGGGAGAGCAGAAGGAGGAGATGAGCGATGGGTGAGGAAGAGGGAGGAGATGAGCGATGGGTGAGGAAGAGGGAGGGCGTGGAAGGCTGCAGGAAGGGTGGGGGGATTGGCCGCAAGAGGAAGTTGGAAACTGACAAATAACATCAGCTCACAATCCGAAATATCCAAGTTGAGGAGGTGGAGTCTTGGCTTGATTTTGTATCCTCCATGTTTGCCTTCAAGGTCTTGTGTTGTTGTCGTAGTTTGCTTCACCACCTGATGTTCTTCAGGGTGTGCTGAGAGATCATTTCGCCAAGCACTATCACAATGATCCATGGAGGAACAGCGGTGCAGAAGATCTGTACCGTGAGGGGTCCTGAGCGCTGAAAGCAGACACTATCTTCGTAGCTCAAGATCAACCTGAAGCTTCTCAGCGATCTTGCGAAGAGATGGTGAACCATCGATGAATGTTTCCCACACCCCCTGACCGCTTGACGTGCTGGCAGTACTCGAGCACCCTGCGCATATTTCAGAGAAGAATGTTGCTGATACCGGAGTGTGACTGCGTTGACGTCGTTCCTGCAGCTACTCGCAAGCTGATCAGCTGAGATGTGGAGGAGTTGGTGAAGTCTGCACGCGTCCGGATCGAAGGAAGCAAGGGTTGTGCAGAAAGCTCCTGACCTATGCTGAGGGTCAGACGGACTTCCAACTGTTGAGCCTCCACACGTCCAGCATGTCGGCGGTCGGGGAGGATGCGATGTGTCGAGCATGAGTGACGAGGGAGCAGGTGTATCGATCCTGTGGGTTCCAGTCTGTACCCCTGGCGTTCAAGAACGTCACCGTGCGAGCAAAGCGCTACATTGACTTCCATGGCATCCTGGACGAAGCAGAGCTGGAGGGAGTCTCTCAAGACCTTGTCGGAGCTGTCCCCCTCTTCTATCGCGTCACTCCGGCAGACTTGCAAGATGAGGCGACGGTGAAGCTGCTCATGAGGATGCACGAGGAGTTTCATCGTGGGCGTTTCGACGGGCCCATCGTTCGGGATCAGGTGGAGTACTGGCAGCGTTGGATGCCCTGCAACATGCGGGACAGCGGCTTCCTGCTGCAGCGCAGCAGATCGAAGGAGGAGGACGGGCAAGAGGTCAGAGGGTTCTTGAGTCTAGGGTACGACAAGTGGAAAGACCTATTCTTCCTCGCGGATTTCTTCGTCGGGTCGGAGGAGCTGACATCTGACGGAGGGTGTCACGCGCTCTTGGTGGGAGGAAGGGGCGGAGGAGCGTGAGAGTGACTTTGATGTGACAGACGCTGATCGCGCACGCGCTTGCTGAGCAAGGGGTGGAGGAAGCGACTGTTAGGATTCCAGCGAGCGTGAGTGTCTCGCAAGCGATCTCCGAGAGGAGGGGAGGGAGAACTTTGACCAGGTCAGGCAGGTTGCAGCGACGATGCCGCAGCTGTCAAGGTGGCAAGAAGTTGAGTGTGTTGCTCGGGCTGACGAGGAGACAGGGGGGATGGCGCGTGCAAGGTGGTGGAGGGTGAAGCAGACCTGGGTACCATGTACCGAGCGAAAGGTGCGGCACATGGCCTTGCAAGGGGAAAGTTGCTGACTGCAGCGCAGATGGTTGCTGCCTTGACGTCTTGCTGCAAGAGTCAAGACATCTCACATGGCCGGTAGACAGCTTCTAGCACGATTGAAATTCATTTCCTCTCCTCCTCCTCTGCCTTCTCCATCGTTACCACCACACTTCATGTCCATCCTCTCCCAACAACACCTTCTCCCCGCCCACCTAGCTTCGCTATCGCTTCGTCGAATGCCGTACAGATCCCACACGGCGGAATCGTTCGGCTAGAAGGCTGTTGATCCTCTGGTGGACCGCCGGGTTGATCCGGAACCTTCCGTACGGGTTGTTCGACTGCCCTCCCTGCTGTACCTGCTGTGAGTTGACCATGGGCTGATAGCCCAGCCCCAAGGAGTTGGACGGGTTCCCTTGCCCGGCAAAATTGAACTGCGAGGGAGCGAAATTGTTTCCCGGTATCGCGGGCTGGGAAAAAGGAATCTGGGGCGAGGGTAAGGCCACCTGCCCCGCTGAAAAACCGCCAGTGAAGGAAGTTTTTGCTCGCGCTAGAGTTTCTTGGATGGGCTTGCAAGTCTGCCCGTCCTCCTCTAGGAACCAGTGGCCGTACAGCTTCGCTCGCTGGATCTTTGGCTGGTTGCCGACCATCCAGTTGAAGTTGAGGATATCAGGGACGATGTTTAGGCACGTCATGTAGTCTTTCCACTCCTCCCTCTTGTACCACTTCCCCGTTCGGAACTTGCACGTGTCCATGGTAGATGATTTCATCATGCCCGCGGCCTCCATGTCTTGGATGAGGGCGTTGAAGTACTTCTGGTCGTTGTCGTCATACGTTACAATCTCGTTGGGCTGACCCTCGTAGGGCGCCAACGTTAACTCTTGTCTCTCCAGCAGCTTCCTCCACAGGCAGCTGATTGCCGCATTGTTACGCATGAGCACAAACCCTGCTCCCTTCCCCCCCTGTTCATCGTCGAATCCTATCAGATCACTCGGCGAGTTAACGAATTCCTTGATCTCCAAAAGATTGTTCATCCAGATGGCGTCTGGCTCGGTGAGAAACAAGAGATCGGATTTCTGTAGCACGGAGATGATGATCTCGATTCTAGCTTTCAGCATCCTGCGATAACCCAAAGAATCAAAATCCAAGTTGCCATTGATGCCGTTGTATCCTTCCAGGTACATGGCATGAACTCTGCTCGAGAATCTTTTGACTCTCTCTTCGCTCCCAGCGTCAGTTGTTATCACGAGGGTCCTTTCATGCACTCCTGTCATCTGCTGCGTGTTGCAGAGCCAGGACAGCATGAATGGCATGAATGCACTGTTGATGAAATGCAGAATGACGACATCCTTGGGCATGCCCTGCATGGCCGCCTGCAACTTCGGGAGGTTGAGAGTGGATGTCTTGCCATCGCAGGACAGCCTCTGCCTCAACACTTGCGGCTGCAGCATCTTGTCATGACCGTTCCAGTCAAGTGTTGGGACGTAAGAAGGCCAGACGACCAAGTTTCGATCCCAAGAATCAACAAGCCTGTTGTCGGCAAACAGCTGGTTCCCCGCTCTTGCATCTGCATCGTTCCACTTTGCCACGAGAGCATGTCTGCTGGGTATCCAAGGATACACGCAGTAGTAGTTGCGATCTGACATGAATTTAATGTACCACATGACCCACATCTTGTCTTCATTCCCGGTATTCTTCAAGTCCAAGTACCAGATTGTGGGCTGAATCCCCTCGACAACAGGGGAGAAGTTGGGATTTTTGGAGGCCTGTTCAAACCAAGTTCTGAACTCGATCCACTGACTTGCCAGAGGGGATAGAGATGTCGTCCCTACGAGTCTGTACTTGAAAACGTTGACATCGCCAGGTAAGGAATTTCCGAGTTCTCCTTCTCCATGGGGATCGCTGGCTCGCAGTTGTGCTCGCATGGCCGAGAAGACACAAACAGACGCATCGTACCGGAATCTCTCATGCGCTTCAAGGTACCACTTGGCAAAAAAAGGAGACACCTGAATATCGTCCTCAAAGAAAATTGCGACATCGTTGTCATCGGCCGGCCCAGACGGCTTCCACGCATTCACAAAGGACAGGAGAAGGCCTTGTCGGGTTCTCGCTACATCAATATTCTTAGATCCAAACGGCCACTGGAAGTCCTGCAGGATCTTCTTAGTGTCCGCGTCTGCCGTCCCACTCACGAGGAGGTCCTGGAACACGTGGAGGTTGGCTGTACGCCCCATATAGTCCGCGCCCTTGAGCGAGGCCAGCAGGCGTTTGAGAGCCTCCGGTCTATTGCATGTGAGGACCATCAGACGAAACACGCCCTGTCCCGACTTTGCTCGCTCATCAGGTGCCCGCACGCCCCCCGACGCTGGTGCGACTTGCAGACTTGGTTCCAGCTGCACCTTCGGAGCTGCAGCGAGAGCTGGCTGCTCAGCCTTGCTCGCGAGTGGTGCGTTAACAAGAGGTGCGTTGACAAGAGGACTTGACTTTCCGTCGGGCTTGTTCGTACTGACGTCCACACGTGGTATCGCCGGACTTTCGTTGGATCGAACAACTTCATTCTTTGCCTGAGAGTTGGGCATGATCGGATCAAGTCGAACATTGCTTACGATAGGTTTGGCAGCCTCCATCCTTGTGCTCGTAGCGGATTTTCCAACTGACAATGATACTGCCTTGGGATCAAGAGATGAAATGGAGCTCTGCTTGTTGATGAACTGCTGCTTGATCTCCATGAGCAATCTCTTGTGCTCTTCTGGATCACTTTGGCATATGATGTGCGAGAAGACATACAACAAAACAGCTTGTGAGATGATGAACATCCAAAAAGTCTTCTTCAAACTCCAATCATGAGGATCTACATCTAGTTTGTCTGGACCCGTCGGGCTTACATTTCTCTTGTCCGACTTGTGCCTTGATTTATGTTGCATACTTCCCTAAAACGCTTCAACCCCGATAAATGTGTTTTGTATCTTTGTGCATCATGACACAACAGTTCTGAATCAATCACACCCAAATCAACCTTATCTCATGCATAGCTTTCCCATGATATACCCAAAGATTCGGAAGTATTCGGAATGCAACTGTCCTTGTTCTCAGTTTCCAAGGTATTCCAGGCACCGTATGATGTCAGGCAATAGGAATGAGCACTGCACAAGGGGCAGAGGAGCTACTATCAGATGGAAGGGGAAAGATAAGAGGAGGAGGATCGACTGGGTTGAGGGCGAGGAGGGGGGAAGGGGGAGGACGGAAACGGGGACGCAGCGACTGGAAGTAAAGGAAGCTGATCCGGGGCACAGATGTATGGGGACGTTTTGGGGGTGGGGGGTACCTGTACCAAAGGGGTGGTGAAGAGGTAGGGTGGGGTACTTTTTTGTGTTGGCACCAATATCAGCAACAAGGGGTACTTTGATGGTTCATGGACGGGTAGTCGCCAGGGGATGTACACAATGGGTACAAAACTTTTTCTTTCGTGGTAGGGTGGTAAATGTTGGGGACCCGACCTTGTATCGCCGCCTATCGGACGGGGTAGGGGTAGCAAAATGCGGTACAGATAAGGGGGTAGTGAAAGTGGTCACCGGTACCAACAAGAATCTGAGGCGGATGTGTTAATTTCGAGGGTGGGGTAGAGTACCCTACCTCATCTTTTTGAAAACAAATCTCTGTCAATCACCCACTCATGTTGTCGTGGATCATACCCCCCACCCCTCCCAAATTGCAATAACCCTCCTGTGACGATTCGTTCCAATCGTTGTCCATTAGTACCCCCTTGCTGATATCTTTCACCCCCCTCACGGGTGATATCCACCCCCCACCACCAGCCTTCTACCCCCCTGCCACATTCCTTTTCCCTGGAAATTGCCTTTTGAATCAATAAGTTCAAGACCTTCTCAAAATTTCGAACTTAAACAGTAACGATACAAATATTTGAGGAGTTGTATTAAACTTTTATTCCCCCTTTTTAAGTTTTACAGATGTGGGGGCTTGGATTTTCGAGTTTGTGGCTTGACTGTTGCTCTTCAAGGGAAGGGCTGATGAGGTGGAGACGTTGACGATTGAGATGGCTTCTTGTCAGATCAACAACCTCCTAGCGATATCAAGACATAGTCTCCTCTTCAATCACATCTTTGTCTCTGCAGCAAATGTTCAACCAGTGCTCTCCCATCGCCCTGTCTAGTATCATATTCAGGGTCGAGAAATTCCGATGCTTTCATTTGGATTGTCTTCTCCTGTTTCAGTTTCGTCATCTGAGCAATCAATTCATAGTTTCCCCCCGTGGATGTCAAGCCCCCCACCTGCCACACATTTCATCCCAAAGAATTCATCTCGTACCTGCACCTGACAGCTGATTTCTTAATTCCTGGGGCGTGGCTTTGCAAACTATGTGTGGGTTCTTAGTCAAATCTCATCTCCCTCCACTTCAAACTTTCCCTGTGCATCATTGATCGGAGCAGCGGGCAACGGGGACGGCGGCAGCGATCACGTAGACCTTGCAGCAAACCCTGTTGGACCGCAAGTTGGACCGGCTGAGGGGTAGGGGCTGTATGAGGGCCCTGGCTATGGCTATGGCGGGGTCTGTGCACTGGTTTGCGCTGGCGCTGGCGCTGGCACTGGTTTGCGTGCGAGGAGAGACGAGAAGCTGGAGCAGCAAGGAGAGCAGTCTCCACCAGGGAAGAATGCTCGCAGGAGCTCGCTGCAGGACCCTGTGCCTGAGAGGAGGTCATGGGGGCCAATTGCAGACTGCGGTGGTCTACATCTATGGTACCCCCGAGGAGCCCACGACGCAGGAGAGCAGGGAGCTGGTAGGCATCTTGAGGGATCATGGGATAGAATACACGTCGCATGACGTCGGGGCTGACCCATTGCTGATGAGCCGGATAGCCCGCGAGGTTCAATGGAAGAGGTTGTGGGTCGCGCATGTCAACGATTGTAGGTTGATTTTGTGGGCAGTTTCCCTCAGCTTCATATCAACGGAAGACTCGTCGGAGACCATTCGATTGTTAAGGTATGCATGATCCATTTATTTGATACCAGTTGAAGATTGAAATTTTCGATAGGAATTGGCAGAAAGCGGTGGACTCATGGCTGAGATTGAGCATTTTCACAAACTCCTGCCACAAATCCAACCTGTACAGGTATCAGATGCAACACGTACAAGCAACACAATGAACGAGGACCTCGATTCAAATGATCTTGTTTCCGAAAATGAGGTAACTATGAGATCTTGTTTTAGCGACAACTTAGTGAACTTGAATAGCTGATGCCAGACGAATCGCTGCGTCAACAGCAGCCCAATCAGGTAGATCCATCACACTGCTCCTCGTTTTCGTGTTCAAATATCATCGAATGATGCCGCTCGCAGCCAAAGGCTGGCGATGCGTCCAATTGCAACCCAACGAGAAAGAAGAAAGCTTGCAAGAATTGCACGTGCGGCCTGGCAAAACAACAGGCTGAGGTTTCTTCTTCCTCGTTATTGTGACCGAGATTTAACCTTTAGCAGGATGGAGCAACTGAGGCGCCAAAATCAGCCTGCGGAAATTGTTACCTGGGAGATGCGTAAGCTCGGGCTGTGCGCCATACGCCTAGTAACAAATGTTGACAGGTTCCGATGCGATGGTTGCCCTTACAAGGGAATGCCTCCGTTCAAACCAGGAGAAAAGGTTGTGTTTACCCCTGTTGATGACCTTTAGCAATACATGCACACTAATGGTTGATACCTGGCCCGACTACGGTATCCTGCATTCCGAGTTCAACGGTTCAACCAGTCCGATCTGGCTCCTAATTTGCTCAAAGCCCAGTCACGGTCGGTCACCTCCCTTGCCAGCCTGAGGCTTTCAAACTTTTCATGCGGCGGGGGCCGGCCAAGGCCCACCCCGGGCCCGGTGACCAGCGGCACTGCGGCACTGCCGCCGGTCACGGTGCTACGGTGCGGTCCGATCCGACACCGTTCCGAGTCACTCCGACTCGGAGTTCTGCACTCGGAGACTAACTTGGACGGAGGGCGCCCGCCCCCCCCCAGTCACTGAGTCCCCGAGCCCCGGGAGTTCTGCCGGGTGGCCTGGGCGGGGCCGGGCCGTCACTCACGGTCACTCGGAGACAAGCCTGTGATAACTGGCCGGGCTGGGCAAGTTTAACTGAGCAACTTGTGAGTAAAGCACAAGGATCCGTTAATTGAAACAAGCCGCAGTGGTGTTGATCAACTGCCAAGAATCTTTTGAGGGGGTGGGGGGTACGATTAATTCTTTGAACACCGGTATATTTGATTATTTTAGAAGGGGGTATTACCACAAATGGTGGGGTGGACCGTTGATTGGTTCATTGTTTTGATGGAAGGGCCGACAATGCGGAGAGGATGGAGGGTAGAGGATTGAAGGAGGTTTTACAGGGAGGGAGGGAGGAGGAGGAGGAGGGAAGAGGCAGCAAAGAGACGATAGAGAGTTCGAGAAGTGTACATGAAGTCGAAAAATGAGATGAGGGCCGAACAGTTGAAATAAGCAAGGGTAGACTGATTCGCACAACAGTGGCCTGCTTTGTAGGATTTTGAGCCTTCTTCTCCATGGATATTCACGTCCCTTTCAGGGACCATGCACAGATTTTTCTGAAGGAGCAGCTACGTCGAAGTATCCCTGCAACTTCTGAGATCAAAGAGAGCTAGCGATGGAATCACCCAAGTCGAAACCTGGGAGGTCGGAAATACATTCATGCATCTCGTGTTTGTGATGCAGACTCGACAGGTTGACTCCCATCAAGAAGAAGAGCGCGACCTCACGCGCTGCTGTTCAAAGTTTCTTCGAGGTGCGACCTTCTGCAGGCTTGCTCGTCCTCGTAGCTCCTGAAACGGTTCAATGCAGGAGCACAAGGTCAAAGAGATCTTGCAGGATTTGACGTCAGATCTGGCCATCAACCAACCTTCCGATCCCAAGAAGTAGGTCGTGAGAGGTAGGATCGGCGGACTGAGTTTCCCCAGGTACCTGTATCACAAACTTGGCAACTTCTTCGGATTCGAACAGAAGGAGGAGGACAACAAGGAGGACCTTAAGGGTGAGAAGACATGTTACCTGAGGATGCACGTGGAGTGCGTCGGGAGAGCGCATGCTGGTCGCGTTCATTTCATACGCCGTGCTACCATGAAGGATGCAGACAACATTCTGTTCTCTGCATGGGAGAAGGTGAACTTTGACATCGCTCGTTCTATGTTGGAGCCTCTCAAGGAGTCTGGGCAGGAGGCGTCGGCGTTGCTGCATGATGTTGTGGTTCAAGCCAACAATGACAGCAACAACGAATCTGATGCAAACAGCCAAGCACCGCACAACGAAACTGAGAAGGTGAGGATCGTGAGGATAGAAGGATGTGACTCACTTTCTCCCAAAAGGGAAATTTGCTAGAGAGAATCAAGATCCTTGAAAAAGAGAATGCAGAACTCAAGGAGAGTCTTGAACGTCAGCACAAGGTAATATAAAACCATAATTCTTGTTCAACTTCAACGGCATACTTACAATCTTGTACAGATTGTACCGTCAGAAGAGAAAGGAAACAATGGTAGGCAAAGTTCCAACAACAAGCAGTCAACAAGCTCATTCAAGCTGCCGGAGATCGATGCCGCCTTCGACCGATGGCTCGCCGATCAGCTGGCCGCCTCGTCGCCGGACGCCAAGGACACGGAGGACTTCAAGTACATCACGTTCACTGAGCTGCCGCCGTTCACGGAGAAGCATCAGTCGCTGATGCGGAAGCACATGACGAGCGAGCTGTTCGAGAAGCTCAAGGGCGTCAAGACCTCCAAGGGCTACTCGCTGTCCAACGGCATGCAGGCGGGGGTGCTGCGGCCTCACCTTGGGGTAGGCTTCACGTGCGGAGACCAGGAGTGCTTCGAGGCTTTCAAGGAGATCATCTACCCGATCGTGAAGGGCTGGCATGGCTTCGACCCGGAGATGCAGGAGCACCGATCGGATCTGGATGCGACGAAGCTTGTGTTCACGGAGGAGCAGCAGGGGAAGTTTAGCCAGTACGTCAAGTCGACGCGAGTGCGAGCAGCGCGGAACATCTCCGGGTACTCACTGCCGGCGGGGTCCAGCAAAGAGGACCGTCTGGCGGTCGAGGATGTACTGAAGGAGGCGTTCGGGGCGCTGCCAGAGGCGCTGCAAGGCACGTACTACCCGCTTGGGTCGCTGTCGGCAGAGCAGGAGCAGGACCTGCAGGCAGGAGGCTTCTTGTTCCAGAAGCCAGGGCCGATGCAGCTACTAGGAGCAGCAGGGGCAGGGCGGGACTGGCCGGAAGGACGAGGCATCTTCCACAACGACGCGAAGACGGTACTATGCTGGTGCAACGAGGAGGACCAGTGCAGGATCATCGCGATGGAGGAAGGAGGGGACGTGAAGGGGGTGTTCTCGCGGTTCTGCCAGCTGTCGGAGGCGATCAAGACGGCGGCGGAGGGGAAGGGGCAGGCACTGATGTACGACGAGCGTCTGGGCTTCCTTGGGACGTGCCCGTCGAACCTCGGGACGGGGCTGCGAGCGAGCGTGATGATCGTGCTACCAGAGCTGAACAAGGACCCGAAGAGGCTTGAGGAGATCTGCCGCAAGTACGACCTGCAGCCTCGCGGGTCGTCTGGGGAGCACAGCGCGGCAGTGGGAGCCAAGTGGGACATCTCGAACAAGCAGAGGATCGGGTACTCGGAGGTGGAGCTCGTGCAGAAGATGATCGACGGGGTAACGCAGCTGATCTCGATCGAGGAGGAGCTTGCAGCGGCGGCGGCGGCGGCGGCGGCGGGAGGAGGGTCGGGAGCAGGAGAGCAAGCCTCTGAGGCCGCATCGGGCGAGGGGCCCGTAGGGTCGGGAGGGGCAGACCAGGGGCATGCGGGCGAAGTGCAAGGAGACTTTATGTCTAAGCCGTCTGTAGTGACGTGGATGCCGGTGCAGCAGGGATCCTTTTCAGAAGCTCAGGGCGAGGGAGAGGCAGGAGGAGGGGGAGGATCGGAACCGACAGCAGGCGAGAGCCATGGGTCGTCCAAGGACGGCTTCAAGCTGCCGGAGATCGATGCCGCCTTCGACCGATGGCTCGCCGATCAGCTTGCCGCCTCGTCGCCGGACGCCAAGGACACGGAGGACTTCAAGTACATCACGTTCACTGAGCTGCCGCCGTTCACGGAGAAGCATCAGGTGCTGATGCGGAAGCACATGACGAGCGAGCTGTTCGAGAAGCTCAAGGGCGTCAAGACCTCCAAGGGCTACTCGCTGTCCAACGGCATGCAGGCGGGGGTGCTGCGGCCTCACCTTGGAGTAGGCTTCACGTGCGGAGACCAGGAGTGCTTCGAGGCTTTCAAGGAGATCATCTACCCGATCGTGAAGGGCTGGCATGGCTTCGACCCGGAGATGCAGGAGCACCGATCGGATCTGGATGCGACGAAGCTTGTGTTCACGGAGGAGCAGCAGGGGAAGTTTAGCCAGTACGTCAAGTCGACGCGAGTGCGAGCAGCGCGGAACATCTCCGGGTACTCACTGCCGGCGGGGTCCAGCAAAGAGGACCGTCTGGCGGTCGAGGATGTACTGAAGGAGGCGTTCGGGGCGCTGCCAGAGGCGCTGCAAGGCACGTACTACCCGCTTGGGTCGCTGTCGGCAGAGCAGGAGCAGGACCTGCAGGCAGGAGGCTTCTTGTTCCAGAAGCCAGGGCCGATGCAGCTACTAGGAGCAGCAGGGGCAGGGCGGGACTGGCCGGAAGGACGAGGCATCTTCCACAACGACGCGAAGACGGTACTATGCTGGTGCAACGAGGAGGACCAGTGCAGGATCATCGCGATGGAGGAAGGAGGGGACGTGAAAGGGGTGTTCTCGCGGTTCTGCCAGCTGTCGGAGGCGATCAAGACGGCGGCGGAGGGAAAGGGGCAGGCACTGATGTACGACGAGCGTCTGGGCTTCCTTGGGACGTGCCCGTCGAACCTCGGGACGGGGCTGCGAGCGAGCGTGATGATCGTGCTACCAGAGCTGAACAAGGACCCGAAGAGGCTTGAGGAGATCTGCCGCAAGTACGACCTGCAGCCTCGCGGGTCGTCTGGGGAGCACAGCGCGGCAGTGGGAGCCAAGTGGGACATCTCGAACAAGCAGAGGATCGGGTACTCGGAGGTGGAGCTCGTGCAGAAGATGATCGACGGGGTAACGCAGCTGATCTCGATCGAGGAGGAGCTTGCAGCGGCGGCGGCGGCGGCGGCGGGAGGAGGGGAAGGAGGAGCAGGGCAAGGAGGCAGTGGCGACTCGTAAGGAGTTTCTTATAGTTGAGACTTTCTTGCGTTTCACATCTTGTTTTCATTTGCTGCGTAATACAAATAATATACATGATTCTGATTGGATCAAAGTTGTTTGTACATTCAAGCACAAAGGTCGAAGCTGTACTTGTTCTTTGCAAGAGGAGCCTTGCGACGCGCGACCGGAGCAGCAAGAAAAGCTTCCTGAAACCTGTCGTTTTTAGCGACGATCTTTACCGCCTTCACCTCCTTCTGTTTCATGTCGGTCGTAGTATTCCTCGAACTTCTTTCTTCAAGACACTCGTCAATGGCTTGACGGACTGAGTGAGAAACCCCGTTGTTTGTCAATTGTAAACTGGTCAACGATGTGTTTTCTTTCAGACCCCTCAGGATGGCTTCTGCTCCAGCGTCCCCCACACCTGAGCATCAATCATCATCATCTCAAGCAACAGAAGCATGCAGCCCTCACTGTTGTAGCTCAAGTCAAGAGTGACAAGAGTGAAATTCCTTTTCAGCATCTGAGCCAACGACGTCGCGCCAATCTGAGTTATGTCGTTGTAGTGAAGGTCCAGCCGAGTGAGCACTGTGTTGAAGATGAGGCTTGTAGACAACTGCGGCATGTCTCGAGTCACCAGCTAAAGCTGACGGATTGAGAAAAGACATGCAGCCTGTACCTGTCTACAGCCGTCGTCCGCTATCAGTGCCCATGCTAAAGTCAGGTCCGTGAACATCTTGTCATTCCTGCTCAGACGCTTTACAGCTCCTTTCAACTGAGCTCATCAACATCACTCAATCAAACGATAGAGACACAGGAAGACTTTGATCGTCTCCCTTACCTCACTCTGATTCCTGCCTGCACTTGGCTTGCTAGACACAATCGCAGGTACCTTTGAAGCTGATAGTCAGAGGGGCAGCTTAAAGTTGATATGTTGGGTCATGGCAATTCTACAGTAAAAGTTGAAACCCTCGTCGCCATTCAGTGACGCTACCAAATGTTATAATGTTATTGCTCTTGCTCGGTTTACCGCACTGTATCTTCCTGTAAGTTACCTATCCTCAACCAACTCTCCTCCTCTCCTCTTCCGCTCCTCCTCTCCTCCTCCTCTCCTCCTCCTCTCCTCCTCCTCTCCTCTTCCTCTCCTCCTCCTCTCCTCCTCCTCTCCTCCTCCTCCGCTCCTCCTCTTCAGCTTCTCTCCCCCTCTGCTTCTCCTCCCCCTTCCCTTACTCCTCAACTTACCTTGACATTCAGCACGCGCACCATTCAACAGAGCCACCTTGAGGTCAAAATCAGGATCCGTTACAGTTGAGATATAGACGTTATAGCCGTTATGGCTTCTTGGACTTTACTGCAGTAACCCGGCCAGAGATTTTATTAAGCTTATAACTTTCCCCAAAACACGACGAACCTTTAGACATTTCCAATATCCGAATATATTACTGAACATTTCAAATTCCAGTATTTAGTTTTGATTATTCCCCCATTACATTTGAATCATATTACTACACAGCGTTGAGTTACAGCAGTCATGCTTTAGATCACGATAACTCGGCTATTCAAACAGTAAGGAAGAGGTTTCATCTGTCACGATGCCACAATATGAAGGCAGCTTTTGAAAAATCACCTCAATATTTCAAACTACTGAGGGATCTGAATGAATTTACTAATAAGTCCCACAGCAGGGATCCGTGACCTCCATTTGCCTGTCTACAAATATCGAAAGTACGTCATTTCAATTTTAATCACGAATGGAGTCATGTATTGTGCTCCGGTCCTCCAACTTTGGCTCTATATCCCCTCCCCGCCCTCGTTGCCTTCTTTACTGTTCCTCGAGCACACTTCACACCAGTACTTGTCCTCCTGACCTGTTCCTGCTACCACCTTTGCCTTGATCTCTCTCCCCCTGTTTCCCATCTGATTGAGAGAAGCTGTCATCAATTTAACGTGCAATGGCAATCTCAGATCGGAGCGGGGCCACCCGCCCTAAACTGCTGTTTGGCTTCGCCAGCAACGAAGAAACTTCGGCGGCGTCCAGCACCATCTCTCTCAGCTCTGTCCTCTCATCGTCTCCACTCCCAGCGTCATCTATTTTTTCTCAAAATCAGAAACTTCAGTTCGCCCAAACATCTGGACAGTCTCTGGCATGCCTCATAGAGAAGAATGCGTCGCAACCCACGCATTTATGTATGATCAGCGCATCCTTGGATATTCTTGAAGAGGCTTCTACCTCAAGCTTTGAAGATCAAGTTTCTGCTGCGAGCAAGCTTTCAAACCTGGCACTGCGCCCTGATCTACAGCAGCAGATGTCGACAGAGCCATTGCTGGATCGACTCGTGCAATGCTTGATTTCAGCTCAAGACGAGTGCATCCAACGCTTCATATGCATGGCAATATGCCGTTTAGCAACCAACAAGGACCTTATCCCCAAGCTGGTCAATAACAGATGCTTGGTAGAAACGTTGAGGAACAACGCGGCCAATTTCGAATCCGGGCACTGGAGACAAGCAGCGCGCACCCTCGCGATCTTCATTTACCGAGCTGGCAGCCAGCATCGAGAGCTGCTGTGTCAGCAGGCTTCTTTGGAATGCATCAAGAGGCTGATTCAGCTGGAGCAGACTGAGATCCAAGTGGACGCGCTTCGAGCTCTGCTTCCCTTCACCAAGATCGAGGACGGGGTCAAGATGCTGTCAGCGTCAGACGTGTGGCACACTGCACTCAGAGCGGCTTCCAATGGCGGCGTCTTGATGGTGCAGCAGCTGGCGGCCAACATCCTGCAGTCCGCGCTGGATTCAAGCTGTGGTGACGTGTGCTTGTGCAACGAGTCGTTCAAGCTCTTGTGCGATCTGTCGAGGAAAGCTCGCCGGCACAGCTCGGGTCAGAAGAACGTGTTTGCTGAGCTAATCTGCCGCCTGATGGTTCTCAACAAGTCGAACATGGAAGTCGTCTCCTCATACGTTGAGTCTGGTGCTTGCCATGAAATTGTCAGCGTTGCGACACTCAAGGAAATCAGAACCGGGTTGAGTCGCCAGGAGGAAGTGAATGAGGCGATTGAATATTCCGAGTCTGACATTGAGGAGATTATTCGTTTATCCGAGCTTGTCTCCATCTAGAGAGATACTCTCGATGTGTAACTTAGATCTGCTTGTGTAAATTTTCGATCTACGATAAAACATTGAAACTTCGATCAATCGAACGTCGAGGATCGTTCCAAGACATATGGATGTTATCAAATCGGTCATGTTCACAGCATCCTATGGTACTGAGGTTGCAACAAGAAAAACACTTGAATTGTTGAATCATAACACATAACACTTGTCGTGAACACAACGATCATTCTTTCATCGGCTCGTGCAAAAGAGATGGTGGCGGTGGGGTTCGAACCCACGCCTTCATACGAAGAAGAGAACTTGAGTCTCCCGCCTTAGACCGCTCGGCCACGCCACCGGTACCAGAGAGCTTTCCTCAGGGCTTATGTCCAAATCCATTTTCTGATGTGACTAAAATTTACCTTACAACGAAGCATTCATTTGTGTACCAATATCAATAAGTAAAATTATGAATATACAATTAAATGGGGTCTTGATACAAACCTACAATATGGAGCCCTACATGGCGCAGTACACAGCCTCCTTGGGGAGGACGACGATGCAGGAGGCTGCCGCTGTGTCTGGATCGTCAGCATGCTGAGATTGGAAGAGCGTGTAGACCATGAGGGCGTCCGAGGACCATCGCCCTTCCTCGGCATGCAGGTGAAGCTCTCTGACGAGGGCAAAGCGATTCTGCAGGGACATGGCTTTCGTTCTTCACTGCCTCAGGAACGCGGGACAGTCGTGTCGTTGGTAGGGAAAGGATTCGTTACTGTGCGCTGGGATGTGACTGGAGAGGAAGGATGCTATCTTACAGGCGGCTTTGACAAGTTCATGCTTGTTGCTGTTGACGAGAACATAGCGCCAGGACAAGAACAGTCGCTGCATCGCAACGCTCGCTCACCCGACGATGCTCAACAAGGACACGGAGCCGGTTCTGTCGCCCAGCGGGACGATAGAGGAGGAACAACTGCAGAGCATGGGGATCTACCTTCAGGTCGCAGCCGTCATGACACGAACAATCCATGGTATATGGGTTGCGAGAAGGTACTGGTCAACAATCCTCGGCCTGCCAACATGGCCTTTCGAAACTGCGTCGGGCGCATCTACGAGTGCGTCTTATCCTCGGGGGCGAAAACTTGCGACGCGATGTCGAGGTGACAAGATCGAGCAGCTCGTGCTGTTGGTGGAAGGACGCAGGTGCGACGGTAGTGCACAAGCCAAGCAAGAGAGCGGTTCAACTGCAGTCTTTGGTAGTGGTGGTGAACAGAGAGGACCGATATGAGAGGATACAGTGCCTGCCCGAAGAAGTCGATCAGGATGGTTATGTTCGAGGGATGTGTCTGTTCGAGGACAACAAGTACGAGGCTGCAGAACGGGAGCTGGAGGCCGCACTTGAAGATCCGAACGTCGATGGCGTAAACGCTATCAAGATCATGATGTACCTGAAGGCTATCCTTGCAGACAGAGGAAATCTAGGAAGTGCACTTGAGCGCTGCAAGGAGACGGTGGAGAAGACTTCCCTCCTTGACCACGGGGATCCTCAGATGTTTGAGCTTCACATGATGGCGTTGAGCAACTTGGGAGAGATGTACCTGCAATTGAACGACAACATCAGTGCCAAGTACTTTCTTGCCAAGGGGTTGAAACTTTGCCGGCTGTTGGGAAGGATTGCGAATGAAGCGAAGCTCTACGGTGGGCTCGGAGATATCTGTGAGGTGGAGAATGACCTTATGATGGCGAGGCACTACTATGAGAAGTACTTTGAACTGTCTTGTCGTTGTGAAGATCGGCAGTCGATGGCAGCGAGCTGCTCTTGTTTGGAGAGAGTCTATCGTAGACTCATCCGCAGCAACATGCCGCTCTCAGATCAGACGTGTGAGATTTACGCGGAGAAAGCGGACCTCTACGGCAGGTGCGCTGTGGAGATATCAAGGAGCATCGATGATAAGATGTTGATAGCCGATGTTGACCTGCATTCTCTATCTTTGAAGGAGGAGGGGCTGGATGAAAAGATCGAGCAGGCAGAGGAGTGTGTGAGCGTGTACCGGGACATGTCGGCGGATGAAAAGTTGTCGGTCTCGCTCGACGTGCTCGGCAGGTTGTACAGGCAGGCTGGGAATCTGGAGGGAGCGATGAAATGTCTTGAAGAATCTTTGACCTTGTCCGAGAAGGCTCAGAAGTCAATCCACAAGGTCGGAGACTCTCTCAGGGTTTCCTTCTTCGAGCAGCAGCAGGCGACGTACAACCAGCTGGTTGACCTCCTTGCTAGTCTGGCGAGGGAGGATGTGGATATGCAAAGGAGAGCCCTTCTTGTAGCAGAGAGGAGCAAGGCTCGGACACTGACAGACACAATCGTCCTCAAGCAGCAGGAAACTTCGACATCTCTGTCGACCTGGAACGAGTTGAGCTGGGATGAGCTGGTCGATGTCGTGAAGGGAGAGAAGAAAACGATGATTGAGTTCTACGTGACTTCTCAACATCTCCTGACTTGGATGCTTCAACCCGACGGTGAAACTGTTGCTGACTGATGATCTCATCCTCATCCTCATCCCTCTTGCTGCCAACATTCTTGTCCTTGTCCTCGACCTGTTTGACGTTCTTTGAACCATTCGAACCTCTTTCCCGCCCTCCTCCTCTTTCCAACCCTCCGCCCCTTCTCCCTCCACCTCTTTCCCTTCCCTCCTCCTCCTCCTTCACCACCTCCACCACCACCACCACCTCCTCCTCCTCCTCCTCCTCCTCCTCGTCATCATCATCATCATCAACAACAACATCATCATCATCAACAACAACAACAACAACAACAACAACATCGTCATCGTCATCATCATCATCATCATCGTCATCATCATCATCATCATCATCCTCATCATCATCATCATCATCATCGACGACGACGACGACGACAACAACAACACCATCATCATCATCGTAATCCTTATCCTCATCCTCATGATCCTCATCATCTCATCATCATCATCATCATCGTCATACTCTCCCTCCTCTTGGTGTCCACCTGGCCTCCGATACGTCTGACTTGTGCAATCAGGTCAGCTGCACTTCGTTCGCACGGATCTGCAACAGTTCTTTACCTCTCACAACTTTCCTTCATCCTCCTCCAACCCATCGCAGCAGCTGCAAACGTTTGTGGAAAATCTGATCCGCGACATTGAGCTGGAGGCAAGAAGAGCTTCTGAAGACGCCATCTCCCTTCTCTTCCAGCTCTGCCTGCAACCCATCCAGCACCTGCTCCGAAAGCAAGTGGCAGTAATGATCGTTCCTCACTCCGCCCTCTACCTCCTCCCATGGTACTGTCTGCTCTCCTGCCTTGACGCCCCCCCGCTTCTCCTTCCCTCCCTTTCCCTCCTGATGGCGATCAGATCGCGAGGGCAGGCGAAGAGGGCAGGCGGAGCCTTGCAGGCCATGGTGGTGGGAAATCCTCTCCCTGTTCCCTGGGTGATAGGGGGAGGAGCGCAGGAGCTGGAGGGAGCGGAGCGGGAGGCAGAGGCGGTAGCGCGGAGCCTGGCGAGCATGGCGATGGAGCCGGAGCTGCTGCTGCGGGAGGAAGCGAGCAAGGAGGCGGTGCTGAGGAGGATGGAAGACTCTTCCTGGCTTCACTTCGCCTGCCACACTGCAGCTGACGTGAGAATGGGGCTGATCTCGCGCGAAGCTGCTCTCTTCCGCCCGCACACCTCCGCCATCTTCCTTGCCAACGTCGAGCGGAGGACGGGGCTGCCATGGAGCAGCGTGATCCTGTCCCTTGAAGAGGTCTGTGCCTCCGAAGTGGTCAAGGGCAGTGTGGTTGTCATGAGCTCGTGCAGCTCTGGGAGGGGAGCGGTGAAGCAGGAGGGAGTCATTGGCCTTGCCCGCGCCTTCCTGATGGCAGGAGCGAGCACCGTCGTGTGCTCCCTGTGGGACCTCCGGGACGGGAGCCAGAGGACGCTGATGGAGTTGTTTTACAGGAGGCTGGAGGAAGGAGAGGCTGTAGAGGACGCACTCTTCCATGCTCAGCGCTCCCTGCAGGCAGCGAACCCTTGCTCCTTGTCCTCTAGCTCGACGGATCGCGGGAGGTTGGACAGGCCGCCTGCTGCTGGGCCTCCTGCTCTCACTTCTCGAGATTGGGGGTCGATGGTGGTTGTTGGCGCCTCCTGCCCCTCTCCTAAATCTTGGAGCCGTTCTTGATGTTATTCAAATATTGAAATCCCATGATGTCCTCCTCCTCTTGCTCCTTTTGCTCCTCCTCTCCCTCTCCCTCTCCCTCTCCCTCTCTTCCCTCCCCCTTCTCCTCCTCCTCTCCTCCCCCAACCCACCCGATCCTTCCTCCTCCTATTCTCTCTGTTTCTCCTGCTCTAGCGCATGCGTCCTGCTTCATCGCTTCTTCTTCCTGCTCTCCTTCCACTCGATGATCATGCTCTTGAGGGCCTGCCGACATGTCAGTCGCTGCCTCTGCTGCCAGCAGCAGCACGTGGTTGGGGATGAGCATGTTGGAAGGGAGCGGCAGGTTGGTCTTGGGACTCTTCTTGTGATTCTTCAACCTGCTCGGGAGTGAGCTCTGCGATGACGGGAAGGAGAAAACTAGTAGACGAAAGACTGCAGTAGCAGGAGAAGGGGCAGGAGCAGGGGCGGGGGCAGGAGCAGGAGCAAGAGCAAGAGCAAGTGCAAGAGCATGGGCAGAGAGTGCAGGAGCAGGAGCAGGGGGTGCAGGGGCAGGGGTGGGGGCAGGGTGACCAGCTCTCTATGGCTTGTCTTTCGTATGTGTGTCCGTCCATTGCTATGACAGGATCAGTCATAACGTCCATGGTGATGGGACACCTGAGAGATAAGTAAGAAACCTCCTCCTCCTCCTCCTCCTCCTCCTCCTCCTCCTCCTCGTCCTTCCCCCGTCCTTCCATCCTCCTCCTCCTCGTCTTCCTCGTCCTCCTCGTCCACTCCGCCTCCATCATCATCCTCCACCTCCTCATCCTCCCATCCTCCATTTCCCATTCGCCTGCTCCCTCCCGCTTCTCCTTCCCCCCCCCTTCATGTCTGTCTCGCTTCTCACTGATATTCGAAGGGAATGTCGTCCGACGAGTTTCTGTTCTCTTGCTCTTGTTTCTGCTTCAGCGAAAGCTCCTCAAGCTGCATGTGACATGAGGGACCAGCAGAACAACAAGATACTGAATGAGGAGGAAAACAGGCGGAGGTGGAAGCGGAGGAGACCAGAGGGGTAAAAGGCAGGAGAGGAGAAGAGGAGCAAGGGGTCAGCGGAAACTTCACCTCCCTCACTCTCTTCCGCAGCTCTTCCTCCTGCTTCCTGAGCAGCTCTTCCTTCCTCCTCACCTAGGGCAGCTCAGCATGAGTAGAGGAGGGAGGAGGGTTGAATGGACCTCGTCCTCCTTCTGCTGTAGCTCTAGAGCCTTCCTCTTCTCCTCCTCCCGAACTTCTCGGCTGACTTCCTCCTTCGGGCTGTTCGCCTGCTCCTCTTGCCGTCCTTGTCTGCACGTCTCCTCTCAGTCCTGATCCTAGTCCCTCCGACGTCTCCCTTACCCCCGGGCCTGCTCACGCAGCTGCCGCTCAAGGAGGGTTTGCTGCTCCTGCTGTATCCTGCGAAGCTTGTTCAGCAAAGTTGATGGAAGTGGAACCAAAAGCATTGCAACAGCTGAAAGGGACGGTCGGATAGGAAGAGGAGGGTTAGCAAGGAGGGAGGGAGGGAGGGTGGGAGAGGGCTAAGGAGAGGAAGGGGTCACAAACCGTTCCTCCTCCTGCTTCTTCATCTCTCTTTCCTCCGCTTCGAACTCTGCTTGCAGTCTGAACGACATTCATTCAGTCGACTTCAGTCGGGAGAGACATGGCGTCATCTGCTCGACCTCTGTGCAAGCTCTCTGTCCTTGTCCTCTTGTGACATGTGAGAATCTAGAGGCGAGAAACGTCAGTGAGGGAGAAGGGGGAGAGGAGAGAGGGGAAGAGAGAAAGAGAGCGAGAGAGAGGGGGATAACAGAGGGAGGGAGGTAAGT